GTGTTGTTTGAGCAGCTACTTTGTGTATCAGTTTACAGTGCAGCCTAAATAAGCTACTGTATATGTAGGCAATTTGAATGCAGGGCTGTAATGGCGACAACGATTAACAATAACAACTACTTTATATAAGAGGCTAATGTAAATACATGTAAAGACTATGGCAGAGGATAGAATAACCTTAAATGGTCTCTGAAATCTTAAAGATAATCACTTGAAGTTTCTGTTTAGAGGACAAAAGTGTGAACACCGGTTGTGTAATGTGTTACACATGATGTAATGTTTCTAGTTTGTCCTCCTTTCGCTTGTAGACAGAAAACAGATTGGGGAGAGCAGATCCTCCTCCACTTGTCTCTGCCTCCTCATGACTGTGTTTACAATGGGAATACCATGCCTGGAGCAGCTATGCTCTAGAGTTTCACTAAAAAGGCCCAGGCTAGACTCCTGTTAGAATCTCCCTCGGTGCGTGAGTGATCGTGAGACAAAAAGTTTGCACTTTGTTTATTTCTCCAGGTCCCTTGAGTATTTCAGGCACCACTACCATTCATCTTTCTCTCTGGATAACAGGATGAAGTTGGACACTGACAACTGCTTCTCTCTTATTGGATAATGAGAAGACGTTAGATGCTGACATGACATTCGCTCTTTACTCTTGTTGCCTTTCATCTGCTTCCAATTGTGGCTTTTAGTCTTCTTTTTTTTTTTGTTCCCACAAAAGCCAAAAGAGCTTTTGAAAAAGAGAAGATGAGTGAATAAAGGAGTTAAAAGATGGCCTATAGACTGATTTTGGAACTGCTCATAAAACCTAAATGTTTGTAGGTTTATCCGTATTTGTCTTTGCAAATTTAATGGAGCTCTTTAACATAAAAATGTAATAAAATCCCTGTTTAGGTCTGTCTTATCTCCACTCATAGGTTCATTTGGTACGAGATGATAAAGGTATCTGTTAAAGGCCAGGTGGATACACGATGTGGTAAAACTTGCACGGCCCAACTTCCCATTGCATCCTTCCCTCCCTCATTCTTTCCCTTGAACTGTAACCTTCTGCCTCTCCTCCCACTCTATCTTGCTCTGATGATGCCTTCGGTATCACTCAGTGTGCAAAACTGCATACTTTGACCACTGTATCTATTAGAAAAAAAATGAGAAGATGTGTACCATCTTTAGCTAGGTCAGAGTTCCCACATTGTTTGTCCTCCCTGCACCGCTTAACAAGACACAAGAGGGAAAAAATGATGGAGGGAGATGTTTACAGAGTGGTTTATCTGGAGAAGGCTCTCAGCTCCGCTGAGTTAATGATGAACTCCGTTTTAAGTAAGCAGACTGCTAAAAGGCAGACCTTGTCACCTTTTTGTAGCTGTGACAGAAAGCCTCCCAGACAACTTTAAATGGATTTGAGGTGAGTGGTGCAGATTGCACCATCAAGACTCTGCTCAGCATCATATAAATGCATTTCAGTCCAGTAAGATTTTACTTTCTAACCTCCCTGCATTAATGGATTACCTAAGTCATTGGGGAAGTGTAAGGAGATCAGTCAGATGAGGCAGCAATCAGTGACAGAGTAATCCCCAAAGCAAACACTGAGGATGGGTCCAGTATATAAAGACCCTCAATGCGCATCTGTTGTTTAGACTGACCTAAGCCACAAAATACTTCACATTTTCTCTTACATCATAAACCCAAGACATCAGTTTCCATTAGAAAACCTCAGTCTAAGGCAGTGGCTGGAAATGTAAAAGAACACCAGTTGCTGACATTTTGATGCTACGAGAAAACAATCAGGATGGAAAACAAGTTTGCTTCAGTGTGTGACTTGATATCCAAAAGCAAACATGTCAACCCCACAAAGTTTCACGCTGATAATAAACCACTAATCCTTGCTGAAGTTCACTGGGTTAAGCTTACATAGATAAAAGCCTGGTTCACACAAATTATAAAGGCCATTATTCTCACTTACCACCATTAAAAAATACATTTAAACCAAGAATGTGTCTAACATAAATGTTATTCCAGGTTCTATGGACAATTCCAACAATAAGCTTTAAATGTTTTTCTTTGGCTCACACTTTCACCACTATGGTTTTGAAAATTCTCAACAACTTCAGGATTTATTACTTTGAAATTTTGCACAGGCATTCATGAACTCCCAGAGGGTAAGTCTTTGCTGACCCACTAGTGATGCTGCTTCTCTACGCATGAATTGGCAGGGGTTTGCTACAGTCTGAAATGTAAAATTCCTCATCAAAGGATATACGCAAAGATCACCATCTCACTAATTTTTTTACACTACATTATAAGTGCACCAACTGTGATGTGTTATTTAAGCAGATTTCAAGTACATGCACAGAGACAGCTGCTGACTGCATGAATGAACGGTCTGTTACACTTTTTAAAAAGTTCTGGTGGAAGGATACATCCACATCTGTTGATTTGTGTCTCAACAAAATGTAGAATGTACAAACGTCTGCACTGAGCCTAATAATCTGGTTCTGTTGGAGGTCTGTTCCTGTTTAAAGGGAGTTCTTTCTTCCCACTGTCGCCAAATTGTTGGAGTTTTCTCTCTAATAATCGAAGATCTTTACAGAATAAAGCACATAGTCATACAGAAAAAAAACGACTTGAATTTATTGCTGTAAAAGATGCTTTTATAGACTCACTGAAAACAATAGTCTGCCTCACCGGGCTGGGACAAGTGGGGTGATACACAGAGATAAAAAGAAAGCAACCAGTAAACACTAAGTACCATAGATACCTGCAGGGAGGTAATAAAGAGAAAAATACATAAATCAAAGAAAGAAACAAAGATGATGACATGTAATATTGCCATAAGTAAAAGTTGGTGAACATAGCAAATGCTCTACTTCCTTAACTTCACCATGTTAGCCTGCTTGGCTGTACAATCTCATCTTAGAAGAAATCAGATCAAGTTAAATTCACTGAGTTGAGATTTTGCAAGTTAACAGTTTCAATTTTACTAAATAATCCAAGTTCACAAAAATAGGTTGTCTGTTGAGATGTCTTCTGAGGAAGGTGGTTAACTCCACCAATGTTTGAGTGAACCCGCCCAGTGAGCATATGTGCATCTACTGTATGAGACGTGCACGTGTGAAACAGGGCGTCGCTACAAAAGAGCACGAGTGGCTCCGCTGACTTCCTGAAAAGGGTGAAAGGTCAAAAATGTGTCTTGTGTGCAAATGTTTGGTAAATCTAATAAAATTTGACTGATTCAGTCTCTGTAGTTGAATAGTGCAGAGGGATTAAGATTACAGGAGCGTTTTCCACCCCCTCCCTCCATCTGTACTAAACTGTCCCTGGTGTGGATATGTTTTCAAGATTCTGGCATGTAGCCGGGTCACTGCATGTGTGTGTGTGTGTGTGTGTGTGTGAGATTCTGGGTTATTGTGAATATACATGTCCCCAGAGTGGATTCGTTTTCACTGCTTTGTGGTGGGGTTAATAACAGTTTGAATTTGGCACCTATTTTCATCTCAAGGATGTGGAAGTCACAGCAACACTGGTCGTAAACCCAGGCATCACACACCTGTGTGGGTTACATCTGTGGTGTCAGTTTCTGCATCACAGAAAAATGCACTTTTATGATCTTATCTTCTCTCACTCGGTATATAGTGTTTTTTAAAGAAATGATTTCTACTTGTGTGTATTGTTTAAATGTAATAGTTTAAATGCTTTTTTTTTTTTGTTTCAGTCGCTTATTATGTGCCACTGTTGTCTGCATCTGTGTTTTTAAAATCTGCTATGTAAACTAATCGTCATGACAACTAAACTGAAACTTTTCTGTGTTCTGTGCAGTCACTTGTGTTCATGTCCTTACAAACGTTTGTGTCCTGTGTGACCTTATTCTGGTAAACGCTAGATGACGCTGTTGTACCAAAACTGTCCTTCTTTTTACTGCCAGGAGTTTGCGACACAGCAAATTTGTACCAGTATGTATGCTCGTTAAATCCAGGATTGTTTTATAAAACATTATGAAAATGATATCTTTATGTTTGTCGGTGTCTCTTTTTTTCATTCACAATTTACTTGCTCTCTGTAAAGATTATGACTCTTAGTGCAGCTACATGCACTGGTTAAATCTTCACAAAACTTGTTTTCCATGAAAACATAAACCTTTGTTTTCGACAACTAGTAGGAAGCATTGATGGGAGGTCTGGTCAAACCTGTAGATGAAGGTGCTACTGTTGAACCAGCAGGAAGCAGCGCGAAACCTGCAGCCGCTCATGTGTGAAGATGTGCAGATACACCACTTTAAAGACGGTCCTGTGGAGGAAGCTCAGGAAACGACAGCTTCCTTTAGATCTATTGTCTTGTCATCAGACACGGACACCCATCAAGTCATAAATTTCGGACAATTCATTTCCGAGACAGTCAAGAGCTCTTATCTTGGATAAATATTTGCTTCCCAGGGCTTCAACCCAGGAAGAGACAACAACTCCAGTAATAGCTCCCTGGGAATTTCCACAGTTAAACCCTGTGTTGGTACAGGTTCTCTGTCACATTCCACATAGAAACTGTTATGTCTTTATTTATTTATTTATTTATTTTTTGTGACGCCGTTAAAGCTGTGTGCTCTGATCATGTTTTTCACGCCCTCCCAGGTATCAGGGCCCATGATGAAACATGCCTGCACACTGTAGCCCCGAGGGCTGCGTGACTTCAACAGGGCGCTACTGCCTAAACTAATAATTTAAAGAGAGCATCACAGTAAACAGCTTGCAAATAAAAGTATGTGGGGGGAACCCCGGTCTCTAAAAACCACGAGTACTTAGAGTTACGCTCAGGTGGCATCTTGCTGTTTTCAGCAACACACTGCTTCTGTTCATCTAAGATTTTTGGCTTTTGGATTTGTTTCCCTCTACTTATATGCTTTCAGTATGAGGGCCGGTCACACCTGGGAGTAATACTCAGTCTGGTCCTTGCTGGGATATTTTTTGTGGCTTGCTGCTGAAAGAGTGGGCTGGTTCTCTGTCTTGGAGCGCAGGGAAGAAGAAGAAGTTCGCACTAGTTTTGCCTCCAATCCAGTGGAGGTTTCAATAGCAGCGGCGCGGCAGGGGAGGGACGCACTGCCAGCACTCGGGATACCCACTCATACACACTCGCGCACACTCTCACACACACTCCTGCCCACAAGAGACCAGTTCAATCCACAAGAAAACTGCAAGCACGCACCAGAGTCGTCTAATCCGATTGATAGACACCAACAATAGAAGTGAAAACTAAAGGAGGGGATACTGGACACTGCAGAGGACAGCGCGTGTTTTTATTTTTTTTTATTTTTACATCAATCGATTTAGTTTTAAAGCACTTTTGTAAGAGTTTTTTTTTTCTTTTAAAGAAAAACAGACACCATTCTGCAGATAACGTCGTCGATTCATATTGCGAGAGGTAAGACTGTCTCTTGTAAAGATTATGTATTTATTTTTCGCTTGATTTCTCTGCAGTGTAGCGGTTTGTCCGGTTCTTCGAGCAATTATATCAGAAAAAACTTCTTTATTTTCTTAAACTTTTCTGTAGCTTTATTTATTTATTTATTTATTTATTTTGTAATATGCATGCAAGCTCCGTATGAATCCAGAGTCGGACTCTCTGAGTAAAGTAGCTGGTGCCTTTGAAACGGTTTGCGGTTTACAACTCCAGGAAGTTAAAAGTTCCAAACGCATTTCATTCAAGCCGCAACTCGCATGCTTTTTTAATTCTAGCTTATTTTGTTTTGGGCTTCATATCACACGGGGCAGATGAGCTGATGAACTTTACGAAAATTCTCTTGTTTTGTGCCTCGCGACAGTTCCCATGCTCCCAGGGGTGACACAGCACCCAACACAGGCGATTTTTCTACACATGCTGTATTTCTAGCTACCTGTGCACCATTTATGGTGTTTTCACTCTGTTCGCTTTTAGTTGTAAAATGTAAAAGTTTTATATAAGGACTACAGTTTTGATAAATGTTAGTTTCACCGTGTCACTGGGTTCCTTTTACGCACCTGTAAGAGCCCAGACAGGCTTTAGTGAAGCGCGTAATGAAGAGCTGCTTTTTAATATAAGTGAAAAATTGGATTTATTTGACTTGGCACCGCCTGCATTGTTTCAATTAGAATTATTCCAGGCAGATTAATGATAATTTAGCTCGTGTTGGGAGTTGTTTTCCTCATCCGGTCCATGTGAGAGGCTCTCAGTCGGTGTTTAATGAGAGACATACCCGGAGTGGGGATTTGAATAACTGTATTTAGCAGCAGGGTGAAGCCACACTGCCTCCCTTCTACTTTCTCAGGAGAATGAATCATGAACAAAAAAGTCTTAAAATGGGAAGGTCTGCGTCGCATACCGTAACTAAACCATGATTTGCATATGAAAACTCTCTGGCTGAAAGAATTCCGCCAGTGTTGCTATAGCCGTTTTGCGTCCAGAGAAGTGACAGGCTTCAGTGGTGTATATACAGTCGCCTCTCCGCTGCCTTTTGTCACATATCCAGAGTCAGTGGTGGAAGATTAAGGGCGCAAAGTTTTTATTTCCTTGTTAAATTATTCATCATATCCACACACCATGCGCTTCTCCTCGTCTCCCCCCGCCCGGGCACGCTCATTGCAAAGCTCCTCATTATGCTCCCTCAGATGGACACAAGAAGAGGCAGAGCCTGCTCGCACTAGCTGCTGAACAGGCTTTCTGTGCTCCCCTTCTCTGCCTCCTCAACCAAGCACAACATACCGGATCATGATTGACTCATTTCCCACGACGGGGCCAGGCCCGTGCATGCGTGCACCGGATGATGGGCAGTGGGTGGATGACTTTCCCATGGGGGGGCATTTTCTCTAGTAATCTTTAATCACCCTTGCAGCCACAATGCCAGCACATCAGTCAGAGACACCGCCACTCCCCCACCCTCAATTCTATTTGAGTTGTTTTTACACAGAAAGCGCCCCCGCGACCCCCTCATAGAGAATTTCCAGGATGCAGAGCTAAAGGCAGGGATCAGAGATGAAATATAAAGGAGCGAAGAGGAAAGGGGAGGGTAAGAAGGAAAGGAAACTGGGCTCTGGTTTCCATGATGCTATTGTGCCAGCCTTAGTGGTTCTGATGATGTGGATAGCTCAGAAACTCAAACTGCGAGCGATGTTGTGGATGGCGAGGAGTCAGGTCCTGAGTGATGATTTAGACTTACACACAGAGTGGAGCAGAGGAATGCAATGGTTTGGACCCGCATATGTGTGCACGTATGGACACACACACACACACACACACCAGATTAAAATCTCCACTGTTGGATCAGAGCGTTTACCACAGTCTCAACCAATTTATTAATAAGCTGTTTAGCTGTCCAAGAGCACCAGACCTGATTTGGTTTGGCCTGCCTATAGAACAGGTCCAGGTCCTGTGTGGTTCCCTCTTTGGCTCCTGCATATACTTTACTTACTCTAATCCCCACATTGGCCCTGAAGTGACAGCCATGATGGAGCTCGCTACCGAGGACCCGCCATAAATCTAGACTTCCTTTAAGAAAACACACAGAGGCTTCAGGTCCTGCGAGCTCATGCCAGGCGTCTTGTTGGGTGGAATCCGAAATGTCTCTTTATTTGTGTTGAAATTAAACTGTCTTTTATTCCCTCCCGTTCTGTTAATGAGCTCCATGTGGCAGCAGGCAGGAGGCTTATCCATCTTGACAAGGAGCTGGAGGGAAAGAGCGAAACAAAGTGAAGTGAGAGAGTGTAGGTGGTGGTGGGGGGTGTTTTGCGCACACACACGTGAGCATATACGTGCACGCACGCAGGACAAGGCTGGGGATTGCATGGATATAGCCTGCCTTGCGATCAGAAAAAAATCCATACGTGAAAATCACGTGCTTACAATCACCATGTTCTTGCTGAAAATACGCTCCTCTCACACGTGCACACAGAGTCGATCAGGTGGATGAAAGTTGTGGCCAAATGGTTGCATGTAATTGATATTTTTCTCACTTTAATCTTCAGTGGATCGCAAACGATTTTAATTCTGCTATGGATTGATGTCGCTGAAAAGATTGCATCCATCTGGGAGATATAAATACAAAGTGTGAACATTTTTGTTTTGGCTGTGCACATGATTTGCTTGTAATGACCCCAAATTAGAGCTGGGTCAAAGTTGTTAAAGTAGAAACTCAATTCATAGGACGCAATTGTACAGATTACACAGGAAGGGAAAGGAGGTGGGGGTCCTTTTCTTGTTTTATTTGTTTAAGACTGATACTCTAGATGTGTCAAAGACAGCCATGGGAAAGAAAATTGGGACTATTTTCACCCATTGTAAACTCCTGCATTTGTCCTTTAATCCAGTTACACAGTTCTCTAAAGTCCACAGCTTGCCAATTAGAAAATACACAATGTTTTCCACAGAAAATACTTGGCAAATACCAATGAAAGTGAAACAAAAACCTATAAATATATAAATAAAGAGATGAAAGGCAAAAGCAAAACAAAGTTGACACGACTGTGGGTTACTTTGCCTTAAAATTATCCATTCCCTAAATTGGGATCATACATTCTTCCCCATTCTAATTAAACATTAGACTTTATTTGTTCCAGATGCAGCTTTTTTTTTAATGTGTTATTTTCGTAAGGGAACTCTGTGGCATGAGAATGGTGCAGGCCTGCATGTAAAAGCACATCCAGCGCCGGCTGTGTGACCATGTTGACTCTGCGCTGGTCCATGCAACCACAGTGACCCAACACAACTGCTCTGATATTTAGATGTCATCTCCCTGCAATATATAGTATGTGGTGTCACATGTGAAGAGCACGGGGAAGGCACACATCAAATGTTTAAGGCAGCGGTGATTAAAAACCTCAGTGTGTGACTGCGGCGGACAAAGCCGGGTGAGGGGACGAGGCCCTCGTTGTGTCTGTGGAGTGTTTTGGGATGTTTGAAAGAAAGGCAGCTCTGAGAAATGCGGTGCATGCTACTGAGAGACTCTGCGCGTACTACCTCAGCGCTGTCTTAAGTATTATTAGACATGTCTTTGTTCCGACTGACATGTTTCTGAAGTGGAATGAGACAAGCTGAGGCGATAAGGATCTCAAGTCTCTGTGTGAGTCAAACCTCAAAGTACCACTTAGGCGGCTTTCCTTTTGCTCTCTGAAGTCTGGCGGTGTGACGGGAGGCTGAGCTCAGACGACAGCAGAGACACTGACAGGAGCTGTCATGGGCTTTTTCCCCTGCTTGTGTTTTTAAAGGACTATAATGTAGAAATGAAGCCCTGTGTGTAGTGTGGATATTCGTCTATGCCCGAGTCCTCTGGTTTTACTTATCTGCCTCTGCTGAGGGAGGCGGTGAAGGAGGAGAAAGCATAAAGACGAACCGAGAGGAGGGGATGTGTGTGTACAAGTGTGAAAGAGATTATTTGATGAAAAAAAAAAAAACTGTGATCAAGGGAAGGAGACAGACAAAGGAGGGTGAGCAGAGAAAGGGAGAGGGGTCATTAAAAGGACACCATCTCACTTGCAGTAAATGGCAGTAAAGTATCTGGCTAATCTGCCATCATTACACTGATTAAATCACCGGGGATTTGGCATTCCCATCAGCTGCAATCAATGGGCAAAAATCAATAGACAGGGGATACGTGAGAGCCTCTCAGCCACATCGGCTGCAGCTCCAACTGTGGATTGCATCTCCAAACATTTTTATATTAGCGTCAATAAAACTTAAACTACATGGATTTGGGGATTTTTATATTAAGCGTTTTATGAAACGCCGTGGGTCCCTGGAGTGCCAAGCAATATCTTTTCCTTCACACATTCCTGTTTAAATCTAATCCCCCTTCCTCTCTGTGGCCTTGGGTACTCATTCAGGGGCTCTTCGTCTCTGATTCGTTCCCAGATGGTGATCAGGATTTTAAGTTAAATGTTAATTAAGGCTGAAACTAGAAGGAAAACATGGACAAAAAGCACATTTTAGCATAAAATATATTACATTGCGGACAAAAGCAGAAGCTCACTAAAACACTGTATGCATGTCACAGCTCACACTCATTAACATTAGCAGTTTTGAACCAATGTCAAAATAAAAGGAGAGATAAAACATGGTTATTCAGAAATTCCATTAGAAAAACAGAAATCTTAGACATACTTTAGCTAATATGAGCCTTTAATATTTACTGACAGTATGCATTAACGCACGAGGTACTCACTGTGGCATACAGTTTCTTGCTAAGAAGAGAGATTTTATGCGCGTAAGCTAAACATCAAGTTTCAGCCTTTTTTGTAGTCAAGTAGCATAGCTTAGCATAATGAGACTGGAAACAATGAAAGCAGCCAGCTCAGCTCAATAAGGAACACAGTGGCTCAGTAGTTAGCACTGTTGCCTCACAGCAGGTGGTTTCGAGTTTGTATGTTCTCCTCTGTAGCTTGTGCATGGTACTTTAATGCTGCCAGTGTTAGTGGTGGCCCAGGGTACTTTCAGATCAAATAAATGTGAAATAAAAATGCTTAAACTTCTATCAAAGTTTTTTTTAAATTTTTCTGTAAACTAATTTTAGGAAGAACGGTTGATTAGTTTAGCTTAGTAAGACTAAAGAAAAAGAAAGAAAAGAATAAAAAGAACCCTTGCCGGCTAAAAAAATAGTTTGTGCAGGTTTTTTGTCTTTACTGTGACACATATGGAATTTCTTGTGCCAATCCAAGTCTGTATGCTAATATTAACTCAATGATCGAGGCTCATAGCCACTATGACATCACACATTGGTTATGGACTCATTTTGAAGTGTCAGCTGTAGCATTTTGATCTGCCACTGTATTGGTGTGTTTTTTTGTGCCAGAAGTTTCCTTATATGGAGAAAAGGGTGGAATGCTAACATTAGCAAGCTTGGTTACCGAGCAAGCAATTTTAAAAAATAAATGGTAAATGGCCTGCATTTGCATAGCGCTTTACTCAATCCCTAAGGACCCCAAAACGCTTTACACTACATTCAGTCATTAGCAATGGCAAGCTACATTGTAGCCACAGCTGCCCTGGGGCGCACTGACAGAGGCGAGGCTGCCGGACACTGGCGCCACCGGGCCCTCTGACCACCACCAGTAGGCAAACAAGGAAATTTGGCATGCAGCCAGGAGGTAGCCTGGGATGGAACCACCGACCTTCTGATTTGTGGCTGACCTGCTCTGCCACCTGAGCTACAGCCACCCTAATTTTACTCGCCTTTTTTACTCACCAAAGCTGAAGCATGAACTTTTAATCATCTGACTCACACATCAAGCCATAATATTAGATATTAAAATGCTCCAAAAGGCGCCACCACCGCATACACAGTGAAGAGATCCGGTCTATTGATATCAAATGGCAGAGACAGGGCTAACAGACAATGATTGGCTCCAGCTGTCTGTTTCGGGACACCTGTGAGTCAATGCAACTGACAAGGTTGTCCGTGTTGTGGTTATATATGTATAGGTGTGTCTATATATGGGCATATAGACTGAAACATGGATGATGAAAGTAAACATTATGTGAAGATGAAGGAAATTTAAACTAATGGGCAAATTCACCTGTAGCATATCAGCTTTTTGCTAACATTGAATTTGTCTTGTGGTATAAGGTCATTCACAGACTCACCTTGAGTTGAAAAGATTTCTTATTTGTAAGGAGTCAGGCAAAGCAATGATTAACTTATTATACTCAAGAAAAGGCTAACAAAGTGCTACTTAAAGACATCTTTGTGTCATGTGGTTTTCACATCCTCAGTTAAAAACCATAGAAGAAGAAGAGTGAATTCTTTGCTCAGACGATCAGGAGCATCTGCGAAAAATCACAAAACACTTAATGAAACTGAAGTCAATTTTCTGTGTCTTTCAGGATGAGGCAGTGTAAAGGTTGGAGCGTGGTGGTGCTGCTAGTGCTGTTGGGGCTGGGATCTGTGGCCCAGAAACTGCCTACGAGAGATGAAGGTCTTTTTCAGATGCAGATCAGAGACAAGTCGCTATTCCACGACTCCTCTGTCATACCGGACGGAGCTGAGATCAGTGGCTATCTTTTCAGAGACACACCCAAAAGGTAAGACCTCTGTGAGACAAACAATATCAGGGCGGTGGTTAAAAAAATGAGCCAGTTAAACCTCGTGCTGGTGACTGCTTCAATCATTGAAGGAAACATTAAACCTGGTGATGTCTACTTACTGTAAATAGATAGGAAACATCAGATGTTACCCTGTAATAGGATCTATTATGTTGATGCAAAAACTAAATAATAGATGAGAAAGTCTTTCTCCACTCAAGGCAAAACACTATATGCCACCACGTGCTTCACCTATTATAGTCTGCTCACGCATTTACTCCACACATTATTTAGGATAATGTCAAACTATGATGAACACTGGTGCTTATATCTGGCCTATTATTTTCACAGGTACTACTTTGTGGTGGAAGAAGACAACACACCCCTGTCTGTGACCGTGACACCTTGTGATGCTCCTCTGGAGTGGAAACTCACTCTGCAGGAGCTGCCAGAAGACGCCAGCAGAGGAGGATCAGGTATAACTGACATAAGGCAGCAGTGGAAGAGGTTAATTACACGTTATCTGGAAATATGACTATCCCCACACACAATTAACCTACGCAGTGATGTTAGGCTTTGTGTTTTCGTGGGTTTTAATTAAGTCACAGATGTAGTGTCTAGTCTGACCACTTATGAGGTCTGACTCGGCCCAGTTTGATGTCTATAATTTCAGTGGTTTTCTAGTCACCCTAAAGAATCAAAGACATTACATCCCTTTACTTAGGTCGCCTCGGTCTTCTTAAGATAAATCCTGCTACACTCAGTCTGTTTGTCTTCCTTTTTCCCCTTCATTTTTTTCTGTTTTTCTGCTTCACATTAAAACCTTTTCCCATCTGGAAGGTGTCCTTTCAGCAGAGGAGATCTTGCCAGATGACTAAAGCAGTGGTTTAGAGCACTGATGTGTGATGTGAGCATATATTTGAATGTCCAGACATGAGCACCTGAGAAGAGAATTCATCCTGAGCTGGAAGAATAATGACAAATTTTGACTCGACACATGCAGTGGCAGTGACTTCACGAAAACTGGTGCAGAAACAGAGCAGCTAGTGAAATCTTTCCTGTCTTTGCAGCCTTTTCCTGCTAGAAATCTCTATTGGGAGTTGATCTTTGAGCTTAATTTTTAGTACACCGCTGAGCACACTCTCTGGTTGACAAACATAATATTATGGTTTCTTGCTCAAGCTGGAGTAAGAGCTTAGACTGTCCCTCTCACATAGAAGCTACAAGGCGCCTCTTTGTAGCAAAACTTCCCTAGAAAGGCTGAGCGAATGCTGGCCTGAGATCTTTGGGGATGTTTGGAGTGAAAACATGGCTTCCATGGGTGTGGGATAATGATCCATGAGGCTTAGTCATGATCTTGCAGCGTTAAACAGTTTTCAGTTTGGGTGGAAATTTTCTTTCATCAAAGCCAAAGAAGAAAAGAAAATATTGCAAGGGTTGTCTAATTTGGTGACTAAAGCAAACAGCTCATGTTGTGTGTGTTTGGTTTTTATCTTCCAGGAGAGCCTGAACCTCTGGACCAACAGAAACAGCAGGTGACAGTAGATGAAGGCACGGAGCTCTTCACCTACAAGGGCAATGATGTGGAGTCCTATGTGGCCACAAGCACGCCTTCTGGTCTCTACCAGCTTGAACTTCTGTCCACTGAGAAAGACAGCAACTTCAAGGTATACGCAACCACGACTCCAGAGTCTGACCAGCCCTACCCAGAGCTGCCCTACGACCCCCGCGTGGATGTCACTGCACTTGGCCGTACCACCGTCACACTGGCCTGGAAACCGACACCTACCGGCTTGCTGATGGGCCAGCCTGTGCAGTACTGCGTAGTGATCAACAAGGAGCACAATTTCAAAAGCATGTGTGCTGCCGAGGCTAAAATCAGCACTGACGATGCATTCATGCTGGCTCCGAAGCCCGGCAGAGACTTTAGCCCGTTCGACTTTGTGCACTTCGGCTTTGACAATGGTTTCGGCAAAGACCGGGGCCTCACAAGTAACAAGATCTCACGGGCATACGCAGCCAAGCCCAGGGTATCAGACATCCAGAAGGTGTGCATTGGCAATAAAAACATATTCACGGTGTCAGACCTAAAACCAGACACACAGTACTACTTTGATGTGTTTGCAGTAAATGCTGCTACCAACACCAGCACAGCATATGTGGGAACCTTTGCCCGCACTAAAGAGGAGGCTCGTCAGAAGACAGTTGAGCTGAAGGACGGCAAAGTATCAGAGGTTTTCATCAAAAGGAAGGGCAGCAAGTTCCTGCGCTTCGCTCCCGTGTCCTCCCACCAGAGGGTCACTCTTTTTGTACACACATGTCTGGATGCTGTGCAGGTGCAGGTGAGGCGAGATGGCAAGCTGCTGCTCTCCCAGAACGTGGAGGGGATACGGCAGTTCCAGCTACGGGGAAAGCCAAAAGCCAAATACCTGATCCGTTTCCGTGGCAGCAGAAAAGGAGCCTCCACTCTGAAGGTGCTTGCCAGCACCCGACCCAGCAGCAAACAGCCTTTCCCTTCACTTCCGGAGGATACACGCATCAAGGCCTTTGACAAGCTGCGCACCTGCTCCTCCGTCACTGTGGCCTGGCTGGGCACGCAGGACCGCAACAAATACTGCATTTACCGCAAGGAAGTGGCTGACAATTACGGCGAGGAGCAGCGGCGCCGGGAACAAAATCAATGTGCTGGACCAGAGACCCGCAGGAAGTCAGAAAAGGTCCTGTGCAAGTACTTCCACAGCCCGAACCTGCAGAAAGCTGTGACCACAGAAACCATCACAGGTCTGGAGCCAGGAAAGACCTACCTGCTGGACGTTTACGTGGTGGGACACAGTGGCCACTCAGTAAAATACCAGAACAAACTGGTGAAAACAAGGAAATACTGCTAAAAGACTCTGCAAAGAATAAATCTATTATAAATATATATATTAAATAAGTTTATTTAACTCTAAGTGATATTCTACTAAGGAGTGTATACAGACTGACTACTCACACAGCTGATGGGCCCGTGGCAGGGACTGAACTGTTTGTAGAGAGAGATTTCAACCTGTATATTTATGTTTACATTTCATTGTGGCACGTCTGGGTGGCCCATAGCGTGAGGTGCTTTGTTACCAGGCTTGTCATCTTGACATCATGCTGCCACTGGGAGGGCAGAACTTCAAAGAAGATCCCCTTTTTTCATCATTCTCTGTTCCTTTGTTGCTGCATGACTTTCGCTTTTGTCTGTCACATTTGTTGCATCCTTCGGTTTCAGTGTGTCAAGGAGATACAGTAGCTGCCCGCTTTGTATAGATCTGCCACCGCATATTCATGACGCATTTTAGGAGGAATTTAAATTATTTTATACTTTTCATCTCTCTTTTTAATTGTCTGTTTTATTGATGACAATAGTAACTGTTACAAGAAAATTCCAGTTTTATGAGGAAGTTGTCGTAGCTCAGACATTCCCGTGTGTATCTCAGCCAGTGTTTGCTCTAGAGCCCATCTTGTAAATGTGTTCTGTGCTGGAGATCTGTGTTATTATCACTGTATCGCTGTGTATGTGTGTGCGTGTGTATGTGTGTGTGTGTGTGTGTGTCACATGTACAGAGCTGTCCTGCCAATATTCATGTACATAAAGACTAAATATAGAACATGTAATCCCTGTGTCACCCTGGGTGTCATGTTCTTTTGCCAAGCAGTTAACATCCCAATCATGGCTCTCAGAGAAAGAGCTGAACAGCATATTGTGATTATAGACTCAGACATCTAAATCAGGGCTGCATAAGCACAACCTAATACTAAGAGGGATTTTAACATCAAAACACGACCCTCTAAAAGATTTGCGACAGCAAAAGAACAACAACAGATAAGATATATGCTGTAAATAAGCTTAAAAAGAATAAAAAAAACAACTCTTGATATCATCACAAGTGGCTAAATGAGGAAATGAGCGTATATCCTAATAGATTTAGTTTCAAGTGTATGTCTTGATTTTTTCTGGAGAACAATTTATTGTCTTGGTGATCTGCAAGAAGCCTGATCTGATTTTTTTTTTTTTTACCGGTGGGAGTATGAACCATCTGTATCACGTGGTCCCCGTGTAATCTGTAATTTTATAAAAAGAGTATAAATTAAAAATCGTAACACAGTGTTGTTGTTCTGTACACTAGTGCCACTGTAAATTTAAAAAAATATGGAGAGCATGCAGCTTTCTTTGCCATCGGTCATGGAAGATGAACCAACCATGAAAGGGAAGTGATAAATTTATGTATAAAATGATGTAAAAAAACAAAAAAAAGTGATAATAGGTTGAGCATCGGATGGGTGATTTAAAAATCCATATTTGTACTGAAGCAGTTCTGCTCACATGTTTCATCTTATGTTCTTTTTTAATGAGAACAGAATATCTGTGGTGTAACCGAAAGCTGCCCTAATGGCCAAATTCCACCCTTCCATAGAAATACTTGGCCTCACAGCAAAAGGTTTCCCCTTTAGCATCAAGTAATCTCCCAAAGATCTACTTCAAATAATGTCAATGCAAGGTTTATGCATATCATGACAAATTTAACCTTCTAATTTCCAATGACACCCGTTTTTGCGCTAAACATTTTTCCCAAGACATCAACATGAACACAAGAATTTTTTCGGTGAATCATAAATAAAAAACAGCCTCTGCTAATTCTGAGTCGGATTTTGCCACCTGACTTCCTGTCGCTCTGTTTTGCATTTATAGTCAAATCAATCTGAAAATAAACCTGATTTAAACCAAATATGCCAGAAAGAAACAAACAGGATAGCCTTTTTGTGTCAGTTTAATCGGACAGTTTCTTACTACAACAAGTTTATGGAACTGAAATGAATGATTCAGATTGACTGTAGCTCTGCTACTGCAGCACTGATTTTGTCAAGATTAAGAATATCAAAGAATATAAACCCAAAAGTGGTGACGTCAACAAACTAACAAACTAATTACAATCGTTAATAGCTATCAAAAATTAGCTATCATTAGCAACTTATCGCTAATAGTCAAACCGAGTAACTCTGTGAACGTAATCTTGATTATATTCAAGTGGGGGGAAAAATGCCTTGCTCTAAAGCAAAATAAACATAATTACAATAATCAGAATCCTACTCTGGACTTCGCACTTTCCAAATGGTTTTAACTACACTATAAACGTAGTGAGACTGAACAGGCCACCCTCTATGAAGCAATGTCGCTGTTCATTTCCACTTATGTGCTTACGCTCAAAATCCAGGCTTCAAATTCGAGGGACTTGGTGCAACAGTATTTAGTCAATAGACACATTTAATCACAAACAAGCAAAGAGAAAAGCCAGACGCACATGCGTGACCATATCTACATGTACTGAGTAGTCTTAGATGAGTGGAAATGGCGCCTCTGTTGTGGCCAAGAAAAGCAGCTGTTGTTTGAGAATTGCCATGTTTCCATCACGACCCTGATTGTGGGTAGCTGCACTCCAATTCATCGACACAGTTCACTGTCAATCAAGTGCTCCTGGTGGAGTGAGGCTCCACCTGGCTTCCATTAACCTGCCATTACCCTGAAATAATGTAAAGGAGCTTCCAGAGAGCTATGGGACTGTCATAGATATCCCTGTAAACTGCCACTAATAAAGCTGGCCAGCTCTGCTCAAATGTTATCCTACATGTGTGAATAATATCTGCTGTGTGCTAAAAAAAAAAAAAAGTCCTCGTCTTTGGTACACCCAAGAGGTTTAAGATGGAAAGAAATATACAGACACTTCTATTTTTCTAACATCTTTCAGGAGATCTCCTCACAAACACTCATGCAAACATGAACATACAGAGAAACCTCTATCCTAGAGCTAACCATCTGCAGGGCTTCCCGTGTTTATCTTTTGCGTGGAATCGAGTGCAGCGCTTTGATGTATGAGTTTTGTATATATGTGTGTACATGAGTAGGACGAGGAGTGGAGACAGACATGCAGGGCCTGGATAAGTGGTGTAGTAATGACAGCAGTGCATGGAAGAGCTGGCTCTGATTCTGGGGCTTATGTGAAGTGATCGGTGTATGGAATAAAACAAATAATCTGTACAATTAAACTGTGGCTGGAAATGTCATAAAATGTTAGTTGCGCCCATAGAGCCAGATGTTCGAGCTCAAAGGCTTTTGATGTCTCTTATCAAACATTTTAAACAAAGAGCTTAATTTAAAAAATAATCCAGCCGTCCATTTTCCATCCATTTTCTTCCACTTACCCAATTCAGAATCACGGGGGGCTGAAGCCTATCCCAGCTGTCATGGGATAAAAGGCGGGGTACACCCTGGACAGGCCACCAGTCCATCATCATAGCACTGGAATATTATATTGCTGGTAATTTTCTGGTGGCTTAGGCGCTTTATGTGGCACAAAAAAGAAATCCTGTATGGAGGAAAAATGAACCCTCCTACTGTGTTCAAGTCAAAGCTGACCTATTTTAATTTGAAATATTTCATAAATATTATCCTTTGAAAACAGCGATGACATAAAAAAGATGGATGTCGCCAGAGCCATCGTCCACCATCCATCACCATATTGTTTTAGCCACCATATTTGGACGAGAGGGTGGAATTCAAAGGCATCAGCCAATAATCTGCACCAACAGCATGAATTCAGTGGAGAGGTCCAGCTGAATAACTGATTTGTGGAGGTGAGGCCTAGCAGACAGAAATCAGCAACAGTGGCCTGCGCCTAATCCATTTGGATACATTCAGTATCCAGATAGATGAGAAATAACAAAAGTCATCCACCGTACTGCTGCTTTGAAGGGGGAAGCTATCCATATAGAAGAGTCTATGGAGTCTATGGAGAAGAACTTGTTTTTGGAGCCAGCCTAAAGTGACAGTTAAAGAAACTGCAATTTTTGGTTCCTTCACCCCAACGGTTGTCCCTTACTTTTCATTAAGACATCTAGCTAGTGGCCGAGCCTCTGGAAATTAAAGCAACAGTCACAAAGGGAACCACTTTTCACTGGGAAAATGCAAAAATTAGTGTTCCTCAGATGATAAGTGGGTAACTGTAGGAGGTTGTTTGCTAGTCGCAAGCAAACCTCCTGCAGTCGTCCTGCAGTCGTCCTGCTTGTTGCAAAGAGGTGTATGGTACCACACCTAAAATATCCCAACTTGACCTGAGGTTGCACAGTTTGAAAGTTGGGCTTTTTAAAATGACTTGTTTTCAGCTTTAGGTCCAACTTTTACTTTGAAAGCAAACATTCTCAGTTTTTTCAAGTTTAACTCATGCTTGGTGGTTAGCGAGTGCGTGCAGGCATGCCAATATCTTCTCTAAATACTGTGAGCGAGCTTGGCAATATGCTAGCAACCAAAGCAATCACACGGAGGGTTTTGTACATTGCCAGGTGGGGTTGCCAACCAGTCTTTATGCCTCTGTGACTGGAGTCTAGGTCTTCTTTCGTCTGCTTTATCGTAGTTACAGAGAATATAGAGCTAAGTTCTTCTTATAGCTAGCTGAAGACCCATAGTTTGTGGCAGAGGTATCACTCAGTGAGTCTAATGAACGTCTCTTTCGCAGAAATCAAAAACGCCATTTTTGAAACCTGGCATTGAGAGAAATGGCAACACTGTGGTCTCTGAGTCTGTCAAAAGCCATTTGCAGAGCAGAAGGTACACCATCGACTTGACTTCCTCCATTGTTGTGGTGTTCATGTTGCATACAAATGATGTCACAGAAATATCGGACAATTGCCATGCACATTAGGTGGAACTTGATTGTAATGGAAAACAACATAAACCGAGTCAAGTCACGTCAAATCAACCAGGTACTAGTGGAAAAGGGCTTTATGTGTTCACCCAACTTAGATCTAAGAAGCCCTTCTCACTTTTACAGGGCAGTGTACCATCAAAATGATTTTTAAGCTAAAATTGTTTCTTAATCAAAACTAAAAATTGTAAAAAATACCTTTACCCAAAATGATTATTTAACTGCCAGTCTAACTAGCTAGCAGTTGCTAGCAGCATGATAAATAAAACTGCCTCCTAGAGTTTTAAAGCTCACCAGTGACCACTGTTAAGGACTTTACACACAAGATGCATAAAATTCATGTGAAAATTTTGCATGTTAGAAATATCTTTTGAACTCACCTAATCTTAACGCAGCCATTCACACCGACTGTGTAATTTTGTTGGATGAATTTGCAGCATTTATTCTTCAGATTTTTTGCATAAAAATAAACAGATCTGACCAATCAGACCACTGCATTTGGCAACAAAGTGCACTCGGAGGTCAAAACCTGACCAGCAGGGAATGCACAGTTAATATAATAATACTATTTTACCTCTGACACACAGCTAGACGCTGCTACTTTCATTATAATGCATTTTTTGAAGATTAATTTAACAACTGAGTCAGCGATTATTTATTGCCACTCTAATGAATAATTTAACCTCATTCTCAACAAGAAACGCAAAAAGATTATTTTAAAAGAATTTCAACTGCTGCTAAAGTAGTGTAACATTTCAGCAGATGCAGAGGCCTAAGAAATTAAAAGTTTGTACTGTTAAACTGAGCAAGCCAATGTAATGTCACAGATGTGCTTTGTAGTCCTATAGCTGTTAATTTGTTGCAGAATTTCCATCACCCTCTCTTCAGGGAGGTTTCAGGAGTTGGCATTT